ACTGGAGGTGCCGCTGGAGGTGCTACTGGGGGTTCTGGAGCTACTGGAGGTGCTGCTGGAGGTGCTATTGGAGCGGGCACTCCTGCTGGGGGTACTGGTGCTGTCCCTGCTGTTTCTGGCGTCGCCTCGCGGCCCAGACCGTACTTCGTTCCCCTCCTGCAGCAGGTTCTTGGTCTTACACCTTCTCCTGGTCCTTCTCCTCCTCCCTTAGAGGGTCCACAGCCTGTCCAGTCACAGTCACAGCTACAGCCTGCCTCCCCTTTGCCTGCTCCTTCTCCCTACGCTGGTCCGACTGGAGGTCTTACTGAGCGTCGTGAGCCTGCGTCTAGTCCTGCGTCGCCTGTTCGTACTGCGCGCACTAGTTGTCGCGGTTCGCGTCAGCGTCCTCCTCCTGTCCCTGGCACGCACCGGATGTCTCTGCGTCCGTCTACTGCTCCTCTACGTGCCCCTTTGCCTTCTCCTCCTGCTTCCTCTCTTCCTGCTCTTGCCGACCCGGAGTCGGACTCTCTTCGTGCTGCCAGTCCTACTGTCACGCGTCTCCTTGCTACTGCCGTCACTGACCCTTCTTTCAAGTCTTCTGCTGCGTCTGCCCTTGTCACTGAGCTCGTCGACTTTGCTGCGCGCTATCGTCTAGACTACGCTGCTAGTCTTGTCACTGAGTCTGAGTCTGCCTGTCCTCCGTCCGTCGGGGGTGAGTGTGCCCTTGGCACGGACGTCCTTGAGGACAGGCAGGAGGAGTTCCAGTGTCTGGCCGCCGCTTCACCTCATCTCGCGTCTGTAGTGCTCGCCCCTGAGGGAGACCCGGATGCACTTGACATCCCGACTCCGCGCTCTTACGCGGAGGCGATAGAGGGTCCCTACTCCTCTTAGTGGCAGGCAGCTATGGATGCAGAGATGGCTTCCTGGAGGTCTACAGGCACCTACGTTGACGCTGTTCCCCCTCCTAGGGCGAACATAGTCAGTGGCATGTGGATCTTCAGGGTGAAGCGGCCGCCGGGTTCTCCGCCTGTCTTCAAGGTGCGTTACGTGGCTCGTGGCTTCAGTCAGCGGCAGGGAGTTGACTACTTTCAGACCTTCTCTCCCACCCCAAAGATGACCACTCTTCGGGTACTGCTGAACGTTGCTGCTCACCGTGACTACGAGCTGCACTCTCTCGACTTCAGAACTGCTTTCTTGCAGGGCAGCCTGCACGAGGAGATCTGGCTGCGTCGCCCACCTGGCTTCACTGGGTCTTTCCCTCCTGGTACCCAGTGGAGTCTCCGGCGTCCAGTCTACGGTTTCCGCCAGGCGCCACGTGAGTGGCACGACACACTGAGGGCTACGCTGGCGGCACTTGGGTTTGCTCCTTCTACTGCTGACCCGTCGCTGTTTCTGCGCAACGACACCTCTCTGCCGCCGTTCTACATCCTCGTGTACGTCGACGACTTGGTCTTTGCCACAGCTGACACTGCTGGACTCACCTACGTGAAGTCCGAGCTGCAGAAGAGACACACGTGCACTGACCTGGGTGAACTGCGCAGCTACCTTGGCTTGCAGATCACCCGGGACAGAGCACGCCGCACCATTACCCTGACTCAGTCACACATGGTGCAGCAGGTCCTTCAGCGCTTCGGCTTCACGTACTCCTCGCCTCAGGCCACTCCTTTGCCTACTCGCCACTCGCTCTCAGCTCTGCCTTCGGATGAGTCCGTAGAGTCGAGTGGCCCGTATGCAGAGCTTGTTGGCTGCCTCATGTACCTGATGACCTGCACACGACCTGACCTTGCATACCCTCTTAGCATTCTTGCACGCTATGTTGCTCCTGGGAGACACCGACCAGAGCACATGGCTGCAGCGAAGAGGGTGTTGCGCTACTTGTGCAGTACGTCGGGCATGGGGCTAGTGCTTGGAGGGCGCAGTCCAGTGGTCCTCACTGGGCATGCAGACGCTTCTTGGGCTGACGACCAGGCTACGCAGCGGTCGTCACAGGGTTACACCTTCAGCCTTGGTTCCGGCTCTGTTTCGTGGCGGGCTACCCGCTCGTCTTCTGTCCTCGGCTCCAGTTGTGAGGCTGAGATCTACGCCGGGGCTATGTGTTGGAAACAATGGAACTTAAACACTTCAGCAGTGTCAAAACATTGCACCAGAAGCGAGGCAACCTACACCGAAGCACCTGCGAGTCAACCCTCGGAGGTTGAATCGGCTGCAGGAAGTTACGCGAAAGTCAAAGGTCGCTGACCCTTGACCTGACAAGAACAGCGCGACAGTTAAGGACACACAACTGACTCGTTACAGAGCAGTTGCCCGAATCGCACTGTATCGAACCGCAACAGCAACAGTAAAAGTAGTTATAACCGTATCTCTTCATATTCCCTGTATTATTATATAAGCTTGTATCCTTTCAATATAATTTAATCTACTTTGCTCTCACACACTAGTGCAAGGTCGGTTCACAAAGCTTCATTAAACGCTTCCGCTATTACAAAGTATCCTACCCAGAGTTATCCTCTGTAAAGATCCTTAGGGCCTTTTCAGCCCAACACTATGGCTGCCCACGAGCTTCGCTGGCTCACCTACCTGCTGACCGACCTTGGAGAGCCGCCTCGTTCTCCTCCAGTCCTGTACGTAGACAACAAGGCCATGCTGGCCTTGTGTCGAGAGCAGCGACTGGAGCACATGACAAAGCACATTGCTCTCCGCTACTTTCTTGCTCGTGAGCTACAGCAGCGTGGACAGTTGCGACTTGCGTACGTGGCCTCTGATGCCAACACTGCTGATGTCTTCACCAAGGCACTTGCGCCTTGTGATCATCAGCGCTGCTGCACGCAGCTGGGTCTTGTGCCTGTCTTGCCTCACTTGCTCACTTCTTGACCTTGCTTGTACCTTCACCTATATATACTCTTGCTCTTGCTTGCTTGACTCTTGTATATCTCTGTATATGATCTTGCATGTGGACTGGCCTTCTGGCCTTTGAACTTGTGCTCGGAATGTGTGGTGACTTTGTGATCCACCCTGAGCTTTGCTTTGCTTTACTTGACTGGTCTTGTGACCCCTTGTTCTCCCCCACTTTGCCTATGGGGGTGTGTCAGAACATTATAGCTTACTTATTTGTGTAGGCTATAGTGGGGTATCCCATAGGGGGTACAACCCAATTAGGGTTTCCTATTTGTACTCACTTCGTTCATAGTCATTTCATTCTCGTTCTTTTCTTCTCACTTGTATCGTGGTTCAAAACGGTCCAAAACGTTGGAAAGCGGTTCTTGACGTTTACCGCTCTGCACCGTGTTGAAACAGAGTTAACCGCAGTGGGCGTACAAAAAGTTGTACAACCTGACGTCGCCCTCAATGTACTTCCTCCTACCTCGTTACCTCAGCCAGCCATCGGAGAAATCGAAAGGGAATGCCAGGGCGTGTTCACTCTCATAAACTTCATAGGATCAACTCTCTGCACCCAACTACCGTACAACCTAATGAAATTATAGACAAATATCTACAGTGTCTATATCTCTTCACGTCCGGCCTTCAGCGCCATTCGGACAGGACGTTCCATACCACCAAGGACAAGCCAGTGACTTTGTTTTAGGCCCATTCAGAGCAACCAGTGGGCAGGGCAGGTGTACCATGCATGTTCTCAGGTTATGGCTAAAATCTCCTAGTCTGCTTTTTTAGAGGTTTCTGGCGCACGGCAGGTGAACCTTGGGTGGTGGGACCCGTAGGTAGCCGCAGCACAGAGAAGCTACAGAGGCATAACGAGGCTGTCGCTCTTGAAGGCCCTGCAGCCCAGGTAGTGCAGACCTAGGGCTGCCATACCCGCCTCAATGCTTGCCTGCTGGTGTGACCCTGGTTGTTAAGTCATGGGAGCACCCACACACCATGAGGAGGCTAAAGCAGAAACACCATGCTGCCACTCCTGAAGGCTTTGCAGCCCAGGTAGTGAAGACCAAGGGCTGCCATACCCACCTCGATGCCTGCCTGCTGTTCCTCTGCCTGCTCCACTATGAGCCGCAGCAAAAGGAAGCTAAAGCGGAAACACCAGGCTGCCGCTTTTGAATGCCCTGCAGCCCAAGTAGTGAAGACCAAGGGCAGTCATACCCGCCTCGATGCCTGGATGCTGTTCCTCTGCCTGCTGCAAGACATTTGCCTCCACCTCTAGCAGTGCGCAGAGAGCATCGTGGGGAGCTGAGTTTGCACCCATTGGCATGCTTTGAAGCGGTTCAAATGGTGATTGAAGTGGTGAGGCAGCAACTGGGATCCTTGTGGCGGCAGTGGTGGATGTGGTAGCAGGAGAGGGGAGTGCGGTGGGATGCAGTAGGCGCACTCTCATGTTGTCCCTTGGGGTGAGAGGAAGCAAGGAGCGGACCTGGGAGGGAGAGAGGGGTGGGGGGAGAGGGGAGAGGGAAATGAAGAAACTATAAGATTCAAAGAGGAAGGGTGCAAAGGTGGGATGCAGCAGGCGCACTCTCGTGTTGTCCCTTGGACCGAGGGGGAGCAAGGAGCTGACCTGGGAAGGAGAGAGGAAGGGGGAAGAGAAGGTTGTATGGAGGATCAATGGGATTGGGAGAGAAAGAGCGCAAAGGTGGGATGCAGCAGGCGCACTCTCGTGTTGTCTCTTTGGGTGAGAGGAAGGAAGGAGCGGACCTGGGAGGGAAAGAATATGGGATGGGGAACTGTAAGGACAATTGACTGAGGATTTGAATAATAATAATAATAACAATCTTCCCCCACTCCTTGCACTCACCATCTCCTCTGCCCTCTCCACCAGCATCAGTGTCCTTGCTGGGCTTCAACTCCAAACCCTAATCTTCTTTTACCTGCACCCCAAATCCTCCCCCGCCACGTCCACTCACCATCTCCTCTGCTCTCCCCACCAGCATCAGTGTCCTTGCTGGGCTTCAACTCCAAACGCTAGTCTGCTCTGACCTCCTGTCCCGTCCAACTAACCCTTTGTTCTAACAAACCACTCCTTGACTAGAAGGTCTCCCCAGTTTTCTCCCCAACTCCTCTCCCCCCTTTCCACTCACCATCTTCTCCGCTCGCTCCACCAGCATCAGAGTGCTTGCTGTGGCTTCAACCCCAAACGCTAGTCTGCTGCGCAGGCAGGGTGATGCTGCCAAGTCCCAGTTGGGTAAACCCGCTGCTCGTGCTACAGCCTGAAAAAGAGAGGTGGAAATAAGGGGCAACACGAGAGAGGACAGGAGGGGCAAGCCTCAGCATGTCAGTCTGCTGCGCAGGCAGGGTGATGCTGCCAAGTCCCAGCTAGGCAAACCCGCTGCTCGTGCTACAGCCTGAAGAAAAGGGGAGGAAATGGGTGAGAGTGGTGTCAAGGGGAGGGGGGGAGCCGGGGTTGGGGAAATGAGGGGTTGGGGAAATGAGGGGTTGAGAGGCAGGCAGGGCGATGCAGTGAGGTCCCAGTTGGGAGGAGAGAAGGGGGAAAAAGGGTAGCAGGAGAGCTGAAGGGAGCAGCAGCAGTGGGGCTCTTTGAACGGCAATCAGCTGCACAGGCAGGGCGACGCTGCCAAGTCCCAGTTGAGAAAACGTGCTCCTCTGGCTATTACTGCTTGGAGGAAAGAAGGGGGAGGAGAGGGGGTGACAGGTTCCAGTTGAGCAAACCTGCTCCTCTGGCTATTACTGCTTGGAGGAAAGAAAGAAGGGGGAGGAGAGGGGGTGACAGGTTCCAGTTGAGCAAACCTGCTCCTCTGGCTATTACTGCTTGGAGGAAAGAAAGAAGGGGGAGAAGAGGGAGTGACATGTTATAGTTGAGCAAACCTGCTGCTCTGATGGGCTGTGCTGCTCACTCACCCGCGCAGCAACTTAAGGCAGGCGGGCAAGGGGAGACACGACCCGGCAGTGCAGAGCAGCCAGAAGGCCAAAACAGGAGCGGCAAGAATGCATTCCCACGCACCCCTTATGGGACACAGAGCTGTGCTGCACACCGCACTGAACCCCACAGCCTACTCACTCACCCGCACAGCAGCCTTGGGCAGGTGCGCGAGGGGAGACACGACCCGGCAGTGCAGAGCAGCTAGCAGGACCAAGCAGCACGACCCGGCGCGAGGTGAGAGCACTCTTGCATTCCCGTCTCATGAACCAATTACCGATCTGTGCTGAGCGTTGACCACTCACCCGCACAGCAGCCTTGGGCAGGCGCGCGAGGGGAGACACGACCCGGCAGCGCAGAGCACGAAGGACGCAGCAAGAGATGCCCTTACCTAGTGGGCGGGAGATGTACACTTACCACCGCACTCCACCCATTCACCACCACACCGGACTCACCCGCACAGCAGCCTTGGGCAGGCGCGGGAGGGGAGACACGACCCGGCAGTGCAGAGCAGGCAGGAATCAGGAAAAGCATCGCGTACCTAGTACTCAAGAGATGTGCACCCACCCACCCACATTCCCCACTCACCCGCACAGCAACTTAAGGCAGGCGGGCGAGAAGAGACACGACCCAGCAGTGCAGAGCTGCCAGCAGGACCAAGCAAGAGGCGAAGGCACTCTTTCATCCCCATCTCTTCCCAATGAATAAGCTGTGCTGACCCATAAGGTCTCACCCGCACAGCGGCTTTAGGTAGGCGGGCGAGGGGAGACACGACCCGGCAGTGCAGAGCAGCCAGCAGACCCAAGCGGGAGGGGTCTGAGAGGTCATCCGCGTTGGTGCCATTGAACAGAGTGACTGGGATAAGTGGAGGTACGAAGGGGTTGATGGGAGGTACAGAGTGGTTGCACGTGGTTGATTGGGGTTGAGAAGGCATAGCTGCTGGGATGCCCAAGCGGGAGGGGTCTGATAGGTCGTCCGCATTGGTGCCGTTGAACAGAGTGACTGGGGACAAGTAGGGTACGGAGGGGTAAGGGTTGAAAGGGGTTGAGGGGGGTTGAGAGGGGTTGAGAAGGCATGGGGAGATGAGGGGCAATCAGCAATGCAGAGCTGCGATCAGGCCACAGCAAGATAGGTCTGAGATGTCACTTAAGGACTTGCTATTCCTTACCTTCACTACAGTTACTCCCCTCTATTCCCATCCTCGCCAAAGACTGCTGCGCCAGTGTACAGTGTGGTGTAGGCAGTGGCCTCTCAGGGAAAACGACTCACATCTAACTCCTTACCTTCATTACGATTGCTGCTATCCATTCCTATCCTCGTTAAGGACTGCTGCGCTACAGTGTATAGCGTGGTGTAGAGGGTTGCCTTGCAGGCGTAGCAGCTCGCTCCCTCATTCGCCACGTACTCTGGCACCTGACCCTCTGTTGTTTCCACCTGAAGGGGCAAAGAGAACAAGGAGGGTCAAGCGAGGTCATTCAGAGTCAGACGACTTCTACAGTTACTCAAAATGACAAATGCATTTATCCAAGATTGCAGGTGCTGTCACCCAAGCCAACATGAATCAAACTGACTCAAAAGAGGCTTACACAGACTCCTACGATTGGTTAGGTGGGAAAACTTGATGGTTTTTTCACACGCCCTTCCCACAGTGTACGTTTCCCAAACCCAACGAAGCAAAAGTCAACGGAGGGTGCAAAACTGAAGGCCAAACCAAGTGAAACGGGCAGAGGCGTATAGGCAAAACGGCAGCAATCAACCACGCAAACAGAATAACTGGAGGAAACCTACTTACCTCCCACAGGGGAATGCCTATGGCTGCTGCCACGTGGCGGGCTGTGGTTAGCTGAGAGGAGGAGAGCGAGGGGCTTAAGGCGATCACAGCGGCTACTGTGGGAGGCGAGTGTGAGTGTGAGTCTGTGTGTGAGCGGGATTGTGCTTGTGAGTGTGAGTGTGAGTGGGAGTGAGTGGGTGAGTGTGAGGGAGGAGGCAAAGGCGGGTCTGAGAGTGCTCTGTGCAGCAGAAAGGCAGCAAGCGAGGAGTCCACTCCCCCTGAGAACGCCACCAGGTTGACCCCGGAGGGAGAGGCGAGCGAACGGGTTTCCTGGGAGGATGTGGGTTGATGGCAAAGTGAGCAAGTGGTTTGATTGTAGGGAGGTCCGAGCGTGCTCTGTGCAGGAGGAAAGCAGCAAGGGAGGAGTCAACCCCCCCTGAGAACGCCACCAGGTTGACCACGGAGGGAGAGGAGAGGGAGCGAGTCTCCTGGGAGGGTGGGTGTTGAAGGCAAGGTGAGCAAGAGAGTGAGTCCGAGAATGCTCTGTGCAGCAGGTGGGCAGCGAGGGAGGAGTCAACCCCCCCTGAGAACGCCACCAGGTTGACCCCAGAGGGAGAGGAGAGGGAGCGAGTCTCCTGGGAGAGGGTGGGGTGAGAGGCACAAAGGGAGGGGAGAAGAGGAGGTGGATGGGTGGTTGGGGTTGAGGAGTCGACTCCCCCTGAGAACGCCACCAGGTTAACACCACACAGAGAGGCGTGTCTGTGGAAGTCTCCTGGAAGGATGTGGGCGATGTGAGGAAAAACATGGGAGGCAGAGAGGAGGGAGAATGTGGTAAAGGGAGAATGTGGTAAAGGGAGAATGTGGTAAAGGGAGAATGTGGTAAAGGGAGAATGTGGTAAAGGGAGAATGTGGTAAAGGGAGAATGTGGTAAAGGGAGAATGTGGTAAAGGGAGAATGTGGTAAAGGGAGAATGTGGTAAAGGGAGAATGTGGTAAAGGGAGAATGTGGTAAAGGGAGAATGTGGTAAAGGGAGAATGCTCTGTGCAGCAGGCGGGCAGTGAGGGAGGAGTCGACCCCCCCTGAGAAAAACACCAGGTTGACCCCAGAGGAAGAGGCGAGGGAGCGAGTCTCCTGGGAGGATGTGGATTGGCGGGACGGAGATGGGGGAAGAGGAGAAAAGGTCAACAGGCCTCCATTGTTCATAGGAGTTGCCGTGAGTTAACTGCTCACGTATGTGCTGGCTTTTTTCAGGCTGATGGCATTCACGTTTGTTCAGGTAGAGAGCTTACGTTGGGCCAGCATCAGTACTGGAATGACCTGCACAATTGTGCATACATACTAGAGGAATCATCGAGCGAAAAAATCTTAGTACGCACGCACAGTTGTCCATACGTACTAGAGAAATCTAGGTACTAACGGAGAAAATGAGTGAGATTGCGAACCTCTATTAGCTGTTGGAGAAGATCCTCCGCCTCCTGTAGCGAGGCTGGTACACGAAGAACCTCGCTATAGTCACCTCCGTTCTCTCCTGAACCACCCACAGAGTCTGAAACCTTCTTTCCCCCTTGATTTCCCCCCTGACGGCTGTACTGCTGAGCAACGGTCTTCATTTCACTTCGCATATCAGCAAGAAGCGAGGGGGCTAAGGACGTTGAGATCTTGGTGTCTTCGATTCTGGCGTCTGAGTGGGCTGCTGACGTGGATTGCGTGTCAGATTGTGCGGTTGAGTGCGGTTCTGTGGTTGCAGCGTCGTGTTGTCTTGCTCGCTTCTCCCTCCATGCAGCAAGCAGCTCAGGGAGAGAAGGGGAGGAAGGAGGAGATGTAGAGGGTGCAATTTGTGCGGTTGAGTGCGGTGCTGCACGCGATGGGGAGGGGTGCAGCGCGGTCGATTGTGGTGCTGATGACGACAGGGAGGAAGTCGAGTGAGGGTCCGAGCTGGAGCTTTGAGACTGCGACATGCAATGCGGCTGAATGCTGTACCGTTCGATGAACAGCGGTTGAGTCCGATGCGGTTCCGCGCGGTGCGGCGGGGTGCGGCGCGGCTGACATCCTGACAGCCAGAACACGGACGAGACTCGACAAGGGGCCGACGGGACGAGGGGACGCGAGTGGAGTGAGAGAGAGTCATACGGGTGAGCGACACGAGGAGGCTCAACGCGGGCTAAAACGCGACAGCCTGTCGCGGCTACAGGACTCGCGAAGAGCGCCATATTAGGATCAAGGGCCGCGCGGCGCGGGCATTCCAGCAGAACTGTACAGTATCACCGTGTCGCAATGATTGCGCGAAGGTTTGGAAACTGCGGCAAGACGGAAAGGGAGAGCGGAGTTGGCTGGAATCGTTAGGTCGGATCCGCTGCTTATGAAACAATGCTCTTGTAAGGTGACGCTCGAGGCGCGAAGAGTCACGGGCCTTGCCGAGTAATTTGTAAATTACTACGAGCATATGTTGCAACTAGCTGGGCTGATTATCTTTGCATATGGGGCGAGGAATCTCAGTGCGAAACTGAATCGCCGAAAGTTTTCGCAACCCCCAAACTTCGAGATTCCAGCGGAAAGGTTCGTTCAAATTCGCATGCTATCCTTGTTGCAGAGCCATTCGGTATTTCTACAATCAGTACGTCCTCAGAATGTTACAGTCAATGCAAAGGTATCGTAAAACACAATGACACTTGGTCCCCAGCATAATCTTCGTGAAACCAACAATCTCAAACCTGAAGCAATTGACACCAAATTTAAACAGAGAAAGTCTCCCTGCTTAGCACCCGAAGCATGTGTCTTCTACGGTAATTCACGATCGCCCAGTTTTGGGCGGACCATCGAAAGCCCACGGGTTCTCGCGACGAACTTCTTCTATTTGTTCTGGAGTAAGGTCGCTTCCAAATGTCCTGCCGATTTCCTCTGGCGTCTGACCTCGAACCATGTCAGCTACAGCCTGGGTTGTAAGCTCCGACAGATCTTTAATTTTCAAATTATCCGCAGCCTGGTAGTAACATCTTATGAATCACAGGGGATGGGAGCATGGCAACAAAGATGAATACGTCAACGGAAGGACTGAAGCTAAGACAGAACAATGGATGATGCATGATTAGAAGAAGGTGGATACGCACCATTATTAGGTCGAACAGGGTACTCTGATCAACTTTGATGAACTCTTGATCCCACGCCTTCACCTCCTTGTCCGTGACTGCAGGCTTCTTCGCATTTACGTGATACTTGCAGTACTCAATCACCTTATCCAGAATTTTCCCAGAGACTTCTGGCAAACGGATGGGAGCGCTGGCAGATGACGCATCGGCATTTTCAATCACCTTTTTTAACAATGTCGCTCTGAAGGGCTACCTCTTGGTCTACCTCAAATATCTCATTGTCTGAGCTCATCAGCTTCAACTTGGTGTCCGCCATGATGCTTTGCTGTAAAATCACCCAGGAAGAATCGCCCTAATACTCGGTCGCCAAGCACTATCAACGTTCTCTTCGGTGCAGGCAACAGACAGCAAAACTAGGTATGAGTGAAGTAGCGTGGAGGACAAGGGTCAATAGAAGCCGAGCCGAGCTGGTTGCAACGCTTTTCCCCTTTGTCGGACACGGACAAGCCGTGTCACAGCCAGAAAACTAAGCGACAGCCAAGCTCAAGAAAGGATTCTCCAGCGAGTAATTTTGTGGCTGCCAGAAGACCCCAGCAGTTTGCACCTTGCTGTTGGGGGATCAGTTTCCTCCAATGGAATTGGAGAAAGCTAGATTCCTCCAGCGCTCGCGAGTAACTGTGTTTCGTGAGTTCGCCGAAAGTAGAAGGGCTTCTTTCACTGCCGGTCGATAACTCAGCGCACGACAGAAGAAGAGCCTTCATCACGCAGTCGCGAATTTGGAAAGGCTTCTGCAGATTCGCGGTCGTCTTTACCTCTTACAGAGTCATTCGGTACTAGCCGTGTTTTGCAGGAGTGTGGTAGCAACGCAGTTCCAATCATTATAATTTTTAAACACACATGTAGTGTTTTTTAAAATTGTGTATTGTGAAAGCGAAGCTGCTTGTACTGCACAATTGGCATCGTCGAAGCGCGCTAAACGCCCTTCTCCAACTACAAAAACCGTGGGTTGGAGCTCATTTCCCTCCACCCACGTTTCTCAATTTTCAAACGGCTCACTCAACATTTTCCGCTCGAGTAGTTTTTCCCTCCAAGCTGGCTAGGATTAAATCGCTTCCTAGAGGCGAGTCACCCTCTACTTTACTCAGCGACATTTTCAACTTCAATCGCTCAACGATGGCACCTACGCCGACACTTAACAACGGGAACTCGTCAACCCCCGCTTCCGACTCCGACCGTAACGCCCGCGATTCTGCGGGCGAACGCCGTAACAAGCGTCGGGCAGAAGACGGACCTTCCTGTCAGAATCCCAACCACTAGACCATTGGGATAAAAGGGCTTGTTTAAGTAGCGGGTTAGTGCGCCCATAACCCCCCAGGCCAACATGTCTGTAACCCTTCCCTAGGATCAATCGGGGATCACCAGTGGACCTCTGACACCCCCCCGCACTGGGATGCCCGAAGTGCACACACTGGGATTCGAACCCAAGAGCGCTCTGATACTATGTCAGAATCCCAACCACTAGACCATTGGGATAAAAGGGCTTGTTTAAGTAGCGGGTTAGTGCGCCCATAACCCCCCAGGCAAATGTGCCTGTAACCCTTCCCTAGGATCAATCGGGGATCACCAGTGGACCTCTGACACTTCCGCCCCGACTGCAGTGGACGTGCTGCTGGGCGGGCTCGAGGTCCACAAAAACGCCGAAACCCAGCAGCACCCTTCGGTCCCTGTGGCGCCAGTGGCGCCTGTGGCGCCAGTGGCGCCTGTGGCGCCAGTGGCACCTGTGGCGCAAGTGGCGACGGGGACTGGCGCGGCACACGCGACTGACGCCGAGCACACGCCAGCACCCGCTGCTGGACCGTCGCGTCAGCGTCAGAGGAGGCGGACTGCAGTCTCCTCGTCTGACGCGACCGCCGCCCCTGCGCTGACGCAGGCGTTGACCCCGGACCAGGTCAACGCGCTGCTGTCCCTTCTACAGCAGCAACCCGTCAGCGTTACAGCCGCGGAAACTGCACTACCCGCCGCATCTGCGTCGGCTAAAAAAGAAACTGCAAAAAAGGAGAAAGGCACACGGGGAGCACGGACGAACCGGCATGACAACGACGCAGCGACTGCCGCTCCCCCTGCTCCAGCGGTCGACAACGACACCGACGACTCTGAAGATGAAGCCGGTGAGGCTCCAGTCAACAATGTTAATTTTATTGGCACGGAAAACCTTCCCCCCCTCCCTTCTTCTAATCTTACCTTCTCGGCGGCAACCTTCGTCAACGACTCCGTGCGAGAGCAAGCGGAGCTACTGGAGGACCTGCGGGCGTACCTGCTGCACGCCGAATACAAGGCGCAGCGCGGTGATCCGGCGGGCGGACTCGAACTCATCTCACACGCTCTCAACCTCATCGCGGGGCGTTTCGAGGTGCTTCAAGTGGAGGACGCCTCCGACTTTCGCACGGCGAAGCGCTTTAAGCTGTACCAGCAGAAGAGCCTGCTGACTTCTCGACCCTTCAAGCAGGCGGTCGCGGACATGGCGGCGATGGACCGTGCGGCAAGCGGATACGCTCGTGTCAACCGCGGCGGAAACAACGGGCCGATGCCGTTCTTACCCAAGCGAGGCCCCCCGCCCACGGCCAATTGCCGTGGGTTCCGGGGCTCATGCTTCCGTTGCGGCCAGCCGGGCCACGTGGCAAGTGCCTGCCCTCGGAACGGGCATGGAGGCCAGGGACCCGCTCCGGTGGTGTAGGAGCGGGCCATGAGACTAGGCGCTTGGGCGCTAGGCACGGTGCACTCTTGAGTGCGAAAACCGTGGGCAACCCTAGGGGTTTGCGATGGCAAGAGGCCAGCCCTAGTAAAGGGTGGGATAGGCTTGGGCCTAGGATAGAGAAGGGGAACAACAACCCCTCGGTCCCATATGTTGGCTACCTGGTGGCATGCTAGGAAAGCATTGCTATGTGTGTTGGTTGATTTAATAAAAACTACCTTCCTAAAGGCCTATGGTTTTGGCAAAGAGACTATGAAAATCAAGAGGAGGAGCAGAGAGAGGGAGAGAGAGAGAGAGAGAGAGAGAGAGAGAGAGAGAGAGAGAGAGAGAGAGAGAGAGAGAGAGAGAGAGAGGAGAGAGAGAGAGAGAGAGAGAGAGAGAGAGAGAGAGAGAGAGAAGAGAGAGAGAGAGAGAGAGAGAGAGAGGGAGAGAGAGAGAGAGAGAGAGAGAGAGAGATAAGAGAGAATGAGAGAAAGCACAATGGACAACGGTGTCCATGGCCCTAGGCATCAGCCCCTACGCACTAAGGGCAGGCACAACCATGTCCTACCAAGTGGACGACGGGGCAAGAAAAAAAAAAAAAAAAAAAAAGGGGAAACGAGGAGAAGAAGAGACATGCGTTGACATGCGTTAACATTCCCGACACATTCGTTGACATTTCATTCAATTGTTCATTCTCTTCACACCTTCGATCAATGGTTGCCCGTACAAGTACATGCACACGCATGCTTTAACGTGGAATACTCAAAGCTTATACCACTTGGCCTCAAATGTACAGGAGCACGACGGTGCGAGGCGGCATGCCACGACGATCCGTACGAATTTGCCGTTACAGACAGAACTATTACACACATGCGCGGTCGTCTTCGCGCGACATTTGCGTGGTGGAGCTCATGGTGCCCCAGCAGCCTTGTCCTCTCCGTCATCGCCAAGGGTTACTGGTTGCCATGGAGCCACGGCCCACCGCAACATTTCCACGATCGCAATCATGTCGGGGCAAACACACATGCCACGTTCACACGTACCGCCATCCAAGAACTCATAGAGACGGGAGCGGCAATTCCGATGGCCGCAACGGAGCTTACATGCATAAGTCCACTCAACGTGGTCGAGCAAAAAG